CAGTAGAAATACAATTTAATCATAAATATCAGAAAACAATTTAACCGAAAATACCAGAAATACGATTTAACTGCAAATAGAAGAAATACAATTTAACCACAAATACCAGAAATACAATTTAACCGTAAACAGTAGAAATACAATTTAACCACAAATAGCAGAAATACAATTTAACCACAAATGCCAAAAATACAATTCAACCACAAATACCAGAAATACAATTTAACCGTAAACAGCAGAAATACTATTTAACCATAAATAGTAGAAATACAATTTAACTCTCTAAATACCAGAAAAACAATTCAACCGTAATGTATCTTTCTTATAAACGTATCATCATAATCACAAATAATCATAAATAATCACAGATGTATCTTTACAATCTGAACAATCGTAAATTACCAATCTAATGTCAACACCAGAAAATCCTAATAACGTTCAGTTCGTTCAGCGTGTTAACAAACAATCCTTTCATTTTGTACGATTAAGAAAGGCTTGTTACGAAAGGTTATGGCAGTGTCCCCGAGCACGTATCTGTGCAAAATATGTCTCTTAACTTCTCGTCGATAAATGCATTCAAATTTCATGAAAATCGAATAGGCGTTGGCTTAGGAACAACGGCGCCTATCATTTACCGCGCGCAATATCCCGATTGTTAAAAATCCGAATCGGGATTGGTGCCGGAGGGCGTGACGCAAATATCCAGCGAGAAAAGGGGCAAGATCATTAACGTTCGGAATTAACGAGGGTCGATCTACATACTTTGCACAGATGCTTCTCGCTCGCGGCCGAGGGCGCAAGAAACGCTGAAAAATCCGAGCTTTTGGGCTTGAGGGAATCTCGCCGGTCGCGTGTGACGTCAAACCGTTCGTTCCCAATAAAAACCGGGCCCCTCCTTGCTAAAAACTATCTAACGATCGCGCAACGTTGACAGACATCGGAACGGTTGGCAGATTCAACGAATCGCCCAGTCGTTGGTCTTCCTATTGATCGAGCGTGCAGCGTGCAGCGTGCCTACGCTTGCAAATTGCGAATCGCCTTCGCGTAAGGGTGGCGCGCGTAATTATAGACTGAAAGTAACTTTTGTATTGTTACCGATAGCCAGACGAAAACTTGTTTATTTTTGTTTTCTATCGTTTCGAATATAGTAATATACGAACGTGGTATTCTGTTCATTTTTAAATATACAATTATACATAATATAATAATATATAATAATAATATATATAATAAAATATCTATAATAAAATATATATAATAATAATATCTATAATAAAATATATATAATAATAGTATGTATAATAAAATATATATAATAATAATAGTATAAAATAATAATAATAAGTTAAAATATAATTAACTTCTGGTAGTTCAATGAAGATTTTCTGCGAGACAATTTCTATATCTGTATAGCGGTGTGAATAATTATAAATTCAAAGTAACTTTAACATTTTTACGGATATTTAGACGAAAAACCACGAAAAATATTTGTATATTTCTACATTAGAATTAATAGAAAATAGATTAATACACCAAAGGTGTAAAAAGTTACTTCCAGCCTTTAATTATTCGCACCCCATTATGCAAATATAGCAATTGTCTCGCAGAGAATCTTCACAAAATTATGCGAGAAATTGATTATAAAATATCGAATTGTTAAGTTAATTTGAAATTGTGTTAAATTTGCAAATCCAGTGCCCTAAATGCGTTCAATTTCGCCCGGTTTTCGTGCGCTAAATGAAGTAATGATGATCCGTAGGCTCGTCAGGTCTCGTCGTGCCTCTTTAGCTACTTCCAGTAGCAATTTTTTACGAGCGACACTTAAGCACTTGACCCAAATCTTCGCCGATACTTATTCGCGCGAGACACGTTCGTTTTCTTAGATACATCGCCGTGCAATCGAACAAAAACTATTCGACTCGGTTTGAACAAGAATTAAAGACACGACTGGCTGTCACATGCAGATTCTTGCATAATTAAGAATACGTACGTATTGTTAAATGTACAATCTTACATAAGTAAATATGCGCATGTTGTTAAATGTGTGTTTCACCTATTGTTAAATATGCATTTATTAAATATCTCTTAATCGATACGTATTTCCAAATAATGTTCCTATTGTTAAATATGGCTTATTCAATATGTATTGTCTAACAACGTACCTATTGTTGAATATGTATTTCCTAACAATGTATCTATTGTTGAATATATATTTCCTAACAATCTACCTATTGCTAAATCAATATTTCCTAACAATGTACCTATTGCTAAATCAATATTTCCTAAATATGTGCCTACTGTTAAATCAATATTTCCTAAATATGTATCCATTGTTAAATATGCATTTTCTAAATATGTATCTATCGATAAATAAACATCATTGATAAATAAATACGCGTTTCCCAAATATGTAATTATTGTTAAGCATTAATTTCCTAAATACGTCACACGCGTATTTGCTAAATATCGTTAAATAGAATACGCAAGAGATCTAAACCAACCTCATCCCCGACTGCTTGAGCTGACATTGAATAAATAAACAAGCTGCCCCCTATTTTTAACGCTCGTGTAAATAATTCAATTGGCAGTCGCGTTAACTCTTCCGATCGAATAATCGCCGCGAGGGATGGCGTCAGTCGATTTACGATGAATCGTGGACACAAAGCCCAAGGAACGTGTCATCCGGAAGATTATTAAGCGAAAGATGAATTACTGCGTCAGCTGCTGGCTCGGCAGCAGCTTGCACCGCGTCACACGTTCTCAATGCATAAACGATTAGATAGGCAAGATACAACGCAGCGACGCACGCTCGCGAATGGTTAGCGTGCTTCGAGCATCGGCCACTTCCTCTTTCGGCCAGACAGAAACAGAGATTCGTTTCCGGATAAGTGCTCCATTAACAGAAAGCTTCCTTTCTTTTTGGAGTAATTAACACGTTGCGATCTTTAAGCCGACTATACTGTAAATTCTTCCTAATTGACGCCCAGATTGTGCACAAGAATAGGCAATTTTGTTACACAATTATTATATGGAAAAAAATAGACGACGATTAATCGAGCCTTGCGGCTCGTTTTTTTATAGTTTCATATAGAATAAGAAATAAAATAATATTATTTATTGGATAATCATGTCTCCTCTTTCCAAATTGTCCATTCTTGTGCGCAATCTGGGCGTCAATTAGGGAGAATTTACTGTAAACAGTTCTTGATATTAACTGCTATTATGTATAATTGATTATATGTACAATTAATTATGTATTACAATTATTATATTGATATCGTATTAAACTGCTATTGATATTAATTGCTAGACTGCACATTTCATGCATTAGTGGGAAGAATAGAGTATAGGTGAAATAAAGAATAGAGAAAAAATTAAAAAAAACTAAAAATCTTGATGCGTTAATTACAACTTATTAAAATTATTCGAGAGGAAGGCAAGACTGCACTTGGCTCCTACGTCTTGCAATTGACGCAGACAATTTTTATTTTGCACGAAGATCCTCAGTCTATTAATTGTTGCTTTCAGATTTATTGTAATTGTTTTCTCATTTTTTGAAATTTATCGTCGCATCGATGTAAAATTGTCAAATTTATCGTACAACGAATGACATAATCTTAAAATGGCACGTGACAAGTCGATGGTCAATCATTTTAGTAAATTAATATTTATGTGATGCATATGAAATTGCACAAAATTCACAGTCTAATTATAAAGTGTTTCTTTTTATCGCGCAACGCTGTCTTCTTCGTCGCCATTTCTCAAACTAATGTTGTAATTAAACAAACAGGAGTGTACTATCTAAATACGTCGGACGTTTATCATGATTCATTCTCTGTTAGTCATTACCGGATTACTATACTAAAGTGATACGATAACTCGCGCCGATCTTTACGCCCTGAACATTCGCTTTGCTATCTGAAATCTTTCATTAGACCCGCCCGACCAATTAAGACTTATTTTTTAATTGGTAATCATCGAATCTATGAAGACATTATTTGCAATATTATTTCAAATATTATTATTTGATACGATAATATAATAACAATTGATATAATAATTAATAAAATATTAATCATTCGAAATATTATCACAAGTAACGTGCTATCTTATTTTATAATTATTTCCGTGGCTGCAATCACTTTCGGGATAACATTGTTTGAAATAACACGTTTCAAATAACACGTTACTTTATTTTATACTAAATAATCATCACTAAAATAATCATTCGAGGCAATTACGAAATTCTTCTTGGAAATAATAGGGTGATTTAATTATCAGCTCCGAGCGTGATTTATACTGACATACTGATTGACATTTCTGCGAGATAAGAGGAACATTCTGCTGAACGATTATTTTTCTTCGCGACGATACACTGGTCGCACTCGCATAAAAATCTCTCAAGGATGTATATACTTTTTGAAGGAAACCCTTCGCTGGATGTTATTTCAAGGATTATATTATCTTTACGAAGACAGACTTTCGCGCTCAAAGCAAATCGACGCAGATACTTTTTAGAACAAAATCCTTTCGTCGTACATTATTTTTAGAATTATTTCTTCCATCATTCGCCTCTCGTCGCGTTTACAATAAAAAAGTAACGAAACAGTTCATTAATTTTACTTTTACTTTTAACCCCTGACGGTCCAATGCCGCCGTGCACACGACAGAGATCAATAAAACCGTAATAAAATCTGGCAGGAAACTTCGTACGAACAGACACGACTGTTTCGACGAAAATGTATCAATGAAGCATTATTAAAAAATGCACATTTCTTTTCTATATTTGACGCAAAGATCTCTACTACAAAATTTCTCCAAAAAATCTGGTCCGCTAAGATTTAATTCTATACTTTTGGATTTATATTTCCATTTCCATTGCGTTCACTATCGAACGAACGATTTTCTCATTTTCAGTTCGAATGAAATTCGTCGGATCTACTATTCAGAACGTTGCACGACGTGCAACGCTGCAGCTTTCGCGTTATTCTCGAACTCACCATTTGTCATCGCCGTTAGTGCCAGTAGTATCATAGTCGTAATAAAGTTGGGTATAGTAAACCCTCCTCCCTGAGGATTACGCCACATCTTGATCCCGGTCTTCTCAGACGCACTGATTTTCGCCTGACGTCGCACAGAAACAAAAAAAGATGAACACACAACTCGAACGAGGATCGCTCGAGAACCCGTGTCTCGAAATTGATCGCAACAGCCGCGCTGATTCTTCCGGGCCGGATGCAACGCGAAAGAAACGAACGAGCCACGTCCTAAATCGCGTTTAAGTCGCGCTTCCCGTCGGCCACGAGGACCCGTGGCTCCCGCCTACTATGCATGCGGTCACTATGCTCGAATCGCGACGACCTTTCAGGGGGTTCAAGGCCGACCGGGTTGATTCGGTGCGGCCGGCTCCTCGTCACGGCGATCGTCAACCCTTGAATGAAACACGGGAAACGGTTTCCGTGATCCCGTGAACAAAAAATCGGCATGCGTTGGACGCGGCGCGAGAGCTGCGCATGCTTTGCAAACAGAAGCTCATTGATCATCGGTCGTACTTGACAGTTACCTGTGTTTCTACATTTTCATACGACCGACACGCTACTCTGCGGCCATCGAGAATTAGCATAGCGCGAGCAAACGAACGAAAATCGCCGGGCAAAAGCGACGGGGATCGGGGTTAAGCGTGATCAGCTGATCAGGGATGGGCGAAACTTGAAGGGGGTGCGAATGCAAGCAAGCTGCGGATTTCAGGAATTTACAGAAAAATTGGGTAGTTGTAATTTAAAGTGGTGGAATGATTGAAAGGATTTGAGGATGTCGATGTGTTATTTTTAATCTAGTAAATGGTTATTAAAAGAATTAAGTAGGTGGTTGGTTTCTATTTTTTGTAGTCGATGCAGACGATTTTTATTGTACACTGAATAGGCTGACATTTAGCTCGGTGTATTACTTTTAATCTAGTAAATGGTTATTAATAGAATTAACTAGATGATTGATTTCTATTTGTTGTAGTCGATGCAGACAATTTTTATTGTACACTGAATAGGTTAAAATTAAGCTTGACGTATTATTTTTAATCTAGTAAAGGATTATAAAAAGAATTAACTAGATGGTTGGTTTCTATTTTTTGTAGTCGACGCAGACAATTTTTATTGTACACTGGAGGTATTATTTGTAATCTAGTAAATGATCATAAAAAGACTTAACTGGATGGTTGCTTTCTATTTGTTATAATCGATGCAGACAATTTTTATTGTACACTGAATAGGCTAAAATTTAGCTCGACGTATTATTTTTAATTTATTAAATGATTATTAAAAGATTTAATTTAATAGTTGGTTTCTCTATCTATTGCAAACGATGCAGACAATTTTTATTACAAACTGGCTTGCCAAAATTGGCAAGTATATTTAATTGGAATGCCTATCTTCCAGCAGTGACAATGATTTTTCGTTCATTCAATAGAAGCGTCTAAAATTCACTTCGTATAAACAGAGTATACGTATATACAGAGTACGGGGAGGAGGTGTGAATAATTATACCCTCGAAGTAACTTGCGCATTTTTATCCGACCGAGACATTAACACGAAACGCCATAATCCTACATTGGAAATCATCGAAACCTGCGAATACATATATCTGTTTCCTCGGGTTTTCTTTCCCGCATCCGTGAAAATGTAAAAGTTACATCGAACCAGCGATCGCGGAGACCACTGTGTGAACGTGGTCGACGTGAACGGAGAGCAGCGGTAAACGATCCGGAACAGTCTGCACCGAACTCGAAACATCGTTTCAGCCATCCCTGTCCGCGGCGTATCCCGAACAAAAACCGCACCAGCAATCTGCGCGAAGTGACTGGGAGGATATGCGGGAGGGGCCATACGTGCACGCGGAGCCGTGGCGAGAGAGTGCATATGATCGAACGGCCTAAAAGCGTGTGGGGCAGACGAAAGTGGAAAAAAGCGAACTAACAATAAGATGCGCCGGGGATCGCGTGAGAAACGAAAGACAGAGAGGCAGACGGCGGACGGACGCGCGCGCGGGGCCGAGCGAAGCCTTTGGCGTCCGTTGGCTCGCGATAATCCCTGGGACACGTTGCCGGCAGTTTTTCAAAACCACCGGCGAGCAGCGTGCACGTGCTGAATCACTGATGGGCGCCCGGCTGTCAAGTTGGAAGGAGACAGCCAACCGGATGGAGGATGCAGGGCTGCGCGAGAGATGGCGAGAGAGACGGGTCGCGAGAGAGAGAGAGAGAGAGAGAGAGAGAGAGAGAGAGAGAGAGAGAAAGGCTTCCGCAATAGAAGGCAGTATTCGCTGAAATATCGTCTCGTTCTCGAAAAATTATCGATAATATTATCTTATCTTGTTTAATTCCTGGAATAGGAAATATTGAGCTTTCATCGCGATTTTCTTGGTTTCTTTTCGACGATATCTGCCGACAAGGCGTTAATATTCCTTTTATTCGATTACACACCACTTTCCCGATGATAAATTCAATTTATTTTCATTTCATTTATCGATCTTTCCTTTCATATTATCTAACGAAAAGAGCAACGTAACCATGTGAGCGTGTATAGCGGTGACTTCGCAAACATTTACAAATAAAGTAAACGATTTAACCAAGCATTTGTGTATGTAACGATGTAACCGAACAGCAGAGAAGAGTAAAGAGAAACGACGAGGAGAGGAATACATGCCCTGTTTAATGGAATTGTCCTAGCTAACATTTCCGACCGTCCTCGATGTGAGGCTTTAAGTTAATAAAATCGTTCTTAAATAAGCGATCACGGTTAAATTGAGTTACATTTCGATCGAATATTCTAGCTTTGCTTAAAGGGTTAAGGGGGAACGCGACGTTCTAAATATTTTCAGACGTCCTGAATAGGGGCGAATTAGTAGATAAGGTATTTTAACGAAGGGTAGCTAGACGACGGAGAAGACTTGGACGGGTAGGACAGAGCGAGAGAGCGAAGAGGAAGAAGAATAGGTCGAGAAGAACGGAGAAAGAAAGAGAAGACAAGGAGAAATAGGGAGAGAAGAGCAGAGGAAAAGGACGAAGATGAGAGAAAGTAGAGGAATAGAAGGTCTGAGAAGAGAAAGAGTAGAGGAAGAGATGATCGGAGAAAAGTAGGAAAAAGAAGAAAGAAAAAGAAAGAACAGAGAATGAGAGAGAAGAGAGGCAAAGAGTAGTAGAAAGAAAGGAGCAGAGGCAGAAGTCGAAGAGAATAAGATGAGCGAAACTAGTGCGAAGATCAGAGAAGAGAAAGGCTAGAGAAAGAGAAGATCAGATCAAAGAGAGCGGAGGAAGAAAAAGGCCGAGCAAGAAGGGACGAAGTTGAAGAGCAAGAAAAAAGCAGAGAGAAAGGAAAAACGAATAGGAAGTGAAAAAAGAAGCGAAGAGAAGAGCAGAGAAGTTCAGAGAAGAGAAAGAGAAGATCGGCTCAAAAAGAGCGGAGAAAGAAAAAAGCCAAGGGAGAGGGGGCGAAGTGAAAGAGCAAGAGAAGAGAAGAGAGAGAGAGAGAAAGAAGACGAAGAGGAAGTGGAAGAAGAAGAAGAGAAGAGAAGAGCATGGAAGAGCAGAGAAGAGAAAGCACGGAGTAGTGCTGCTCGTCACGGAGCTGCTCCCTCTCGGTGGGTTTATTGATCGCAGGGTGCGGAGCGGACCAATCTACCCCTCGTGCAGCGTACGCCATGCTTGCTGCTAGGTATTTGCCCGAGCCAGTCCGGCTGCCTGGCCGATTTCAGCTGCTCGTTGCGTGGAGCGTTCGCTAAATCCGGAAAAAGCCGCCTACAAAATGCCTCGTAGCCGGCCGGCTACCTGGACCAGAAATACCGGCGGGCCCGGTCGGGCCTTCGGCAGCCACAGAAAGAAAGACTCGCCTCCCCCTCCCCCCGTTAAATTAATTCACCGATACTCCTGCGATCGGGGCACAGAGACGGACGCGCCGTGGCTACGAACCGGAGCACACGAATCTAGGACATCCCGCATCATCTCGTCACCCGCGGAAGGTCACCACCCTTGCGTTCGACTCTCTGCTATATCATCGGCCTATTACGGTCTACGCGAAAGAATCTCCCCAGCTGCGACACGATAAATCGTCTCGCGCGGTCTGCCATGAAACGATTCAACGGGCACCGGACTTCTAGGAATCCGTAGGCTCCGTCTCGAACGGGCTAACTCTGTCTTATAAAGCAGCTTCTCCTATCCTCCTCCGACGGAGCTATATCTCTCTCGGACTCGCGGAGGCTAGCCGGTTCAAAGATCGGAGCTCCGGCTGAACGGGCTGTTGCGATCCGATTCGATGGAAGCCGAGAGAGAGAAAGAGAGAGAGAGAGAGAAGGAGAGAGAGGATCTCTCTCGGCTCCTAGAGATCACCCGCGACGGTCACACTCTCGGCGTTCACAGGAGCACATGTGCCACACGTACACACCCACGGGGTTTCGCGAACTTTGACCGGTCCCGGGCCGTTTACTTTTTTTTTTTCTTTTTATTTCAAGTTTTAGCAACCGAGACCGCGACGGGGTTGTTATCCTAACGAACGCGTGCTGACTCACACGTGTGCGAACGCGGGTGACGTTCGCACCGGCTTACGTTACGTACAATGAACACGTCGATCAGATCGCAGGTTGAACACACGCTGACCACAGCGAACAGAACGAACACTCTAGGTCCGAGCACGACCGAACAGTGCAGCGAGGAGCGTCGCTCTGCTTCGGGACACGGGATCTCTCGAGGTCGGCGGTGGGAGGTCGTCGTCGTGGTACGCTCTTGCGTCGCGACGCCGAACGGTGGTGGGGACGCCGCCGGTTGGTCGACCTTTCTCGCACCCGACGCCCGCTACCGTTCCTCCTCGTCGTCTACGCCGCGAGACCGTAACGTCTACTCGTTTAATTGCAATCGGACCCGTACGAGCAGCCGGCTTTCGATTGTCAAATTGGAGGCAACCACGATTTTTGGGTCGACCCCCCTTGCTCGACGTGCTGCCACGCGAAATCTGACCGATGCCCGTGTGTTTCGGGGCTAACGTTATGCGGAGTCGAAATCCGCGAGCTTCACGCAGGACATTCGTCGCGATTTAATGGTTTCATTGTTTTCGATTTGACTCGCAAATGCATTCGCGAACGCATGGAAGATGGAATTGTGTTTGTAAAATTGGTGAGATTTGATCGATTGGAATTTCTGCTGATTCTCTTGTTTCGTTTCTTTAGTGGGTACTGGTTCATATTGTTGACTGTTTGTTTCTTAATGTGTGCTTGGTACTTATCGTATCATATTTTGATTATGTTTGCTATTATTGGTCCGCGGATATTTGTGCGAAATCAAAATGCTCGAAGTTAATTCTAAGAAACAGAAACGAAGTGAAGATGTATTTTCTCTTTTGATGATTTTGATAAGTCGGAAATAGTGTAATAATGCTTATAATGTTGTCCAGTGTCTTCAAAGTTTTGCATTTAACATTGTAATTTTTGCATAAAATCAGTTTGATTGTGATATATGCTCGACGATAGAAAATTATCGATAATTCTCTCGTAGAAATATTTTTGCAATACTAAGAATTATGACAATCGCGTTAACACGATTGTTACTGTACCAGCATTGTTAATCGATGATTATCTAGGTGTCATTAATTAAAATTGTACGTATAAGCCGTTCGCAGGCTAAATTAATTATTTGATACTGTATTTATATTACAAATTATGTAAAGATGATGATAGATTATATTTTTCAGAAATATCGCAAATTAAACAGTGACTACGGATTGAAAAGGTTAAAGTTGCTTCGAGTGCAAAGGGTTAAGGTAGCATCCTCTGCAATACATAAATAGACTATGGATTTTATGCATTTATGACAAAATGAAGTAATTGTAATTTTTAAAAATTCACGATCTATAGATAAATTTTATCTTCCTAGTTTCGGTTTCATTAATTAATTACTTCGATGTTGTAGGATTTCTTCAGGTTCATATTCAACACTTGTTGAGCCTTTGTGGTATGTAAAATACCGAGCCAACCTCGGTTTACGTGTCGATAGCTTGAACTAAAATAGCTGCTGTACAAAATGTACTATTACATCATTTTATAGTACCAAATATTCTAAAATGTTAAAAGTATTTATTTTAAGGAACTTAATCGTATGTTAAGATCTATATTAAATAAATATAGGTACTATATTCCACTGGTCTGTGGTTCTTTAAATAATTCAATTAGATGGATAATGAGCTTGGGTGTTGCTCGTATGGTGACATTTGTCCTAAAAATATTAAATCATTAACTAATGTATTAAAACTACTTATTCTTAAACTCTTAGATATTTTCTGCATATTGATTTTCGTTACTAAATCGCAAATGTGAGAAAGTAAAATTTAATAATTTTACACCATATCTATAAAAGTATTTTTGGTAATTTTTACAAAACTTTTAGAAAGATGCCAATATCATCGAAGAATAACATTCGATTTATACCTATTTGTAATTAATAAAATACGTAGAAACAAGTACAAGAAGAAAGGAAAGATTATTTGCAATAAAAATGCACATTTCTTTATAAACCATAAATTTTCATACACATTTTGTGATTTCGACACGCTAACCTACTTTCTAACATACTAAAATGGAGACATTCGAAACAGGAACACTAAAACTAGAATAAATCTTTTAAATTAGTAACTCTGAATTGTGTCATTTGTTTAAATAAATGAAATTATTATTTTCCATTCCAAATACTAAAACTGTACGAATTATTGCCATATATATTCACTTAGAAAAAGAATCATTAAAAGTCACCAAAGAAAAGTACATTTCATCCCCTATTCCAAACGATTTTAATATTTCTTCCTGTAATAAGTATGATTTAATTAACTTTGATTATATACCTCTAAATTGTCATTCCTTCGTGTAGACGATAACCGTAAAATAGTCTCGCTTCGAAATTTCCATAAAATACGGTAGATTGTTTTAATGAACGATGCGGATCACGAAATTCGAATCTCCATTTTGTGATGGCGTGTCGGTTCGCCGACTGGACACGTCACCGGAAGTGCCCTGTTTTACTGACACATGCAGCAAACTCGCGTGGTTTTGACGGTGCAACACTTGATAAGGAAGAAGCCATCCGTGCGGCCCAAACTGTCAAGATGGTAGAGAAAGAGCAGACGAAAAAAGAGATAAAGGAGTTAGCGAAAAATGACAAATACTCGATTCTGCTACCGACCTACAACGAGGTTGAAAATTTACCTATAATCGTCTGGCTTATCGTCAAATACATGGACGAGAGGTAACTACCATACCAACATAACCTCAATTACAAATAAAGTAATGTCTGACAGATGTAGTATCTGAAGTATGAAATATTAAACAGTCTAGCGAACATATGCAACATTCCAGCGAATTAGATTACGAAGTAATCGTAATCGACGATGGTTCTCCGGATGGAACATTGGACATGGGAAAACAGCTCCAAAATGTATACGGCGAAGATAAAATAGTACTGAGACCAAGGGAGAAGAAGCTTGGACTGGGGACAGCTTATATGCATGGAATTAAACATGCCACAGGAAATTTCATTATTATCATGGATGCTGATCTGTCCCATCATGTACATATTTCTCTTCACAAACAGATAGTCAGTGTCAGACATGGACACGGCTGATTCTATGAAATACCCCTTTGATCTGTTACGATTGAAGAATAGTATAAGTAGATGCATAGTTAGAACACAGCGCATTACTTATTTAGAACATTATACATTAGCTTAGTTAGAATACAGTACATAACTTATTTAGGAGAATATTCTATACAGAGAAAACAAGACTGATGTTCCGTCAATCTCTGTTTTGATTTGTTTCCTTTTCAATTTAACTTCTGAAGGAAAAATAATAGAAACAGTTTACTCATAATATTCTAATCAGTCTTCTCCTGCGGTTGCCCTACGAATGCTTGTCCATGTCTAGCTTACATACATAACTGAAATTCACATCTACATTTCATCTTCCTCAGCCAAAATTCATTCCCAAAATGATAGAGCAGCAGAGGTATCTCGATTTAGACGTTGTTACCGGTACAAGATACGCTCACGGGGGAGGAGTTTACGGCTGGGACTTCAAAAGAAAGTTAATAAGCAGAGGAGCTAACTTCCTGACACAAATCCTATTGAGACCGGGTGTCAGTGACCTCACGGGAAGCTTTAGGTAAACACCGCACACGCTGTTATTACAAATAATCTTCATATATTAATTCCTGTCCTCGTAACCGCAGGTTATACAAGAAAGAGGTATTAGAGAAACTGATTCAATCCTGTGTGTCCAAAGGATACGTGTTCCAAATGGAAATGATAGTCAGAGCTAGGCAATTCAATTACACCATAGGTGAGGTACCGATCTCGTTCGTGGATCGGGTTTACGGTGAATCGAAGCTGGGCGGATCGGAGATCTTCCAGTTCGTAAAAGGTCTTCTATATTTGTTTGCCACCACGTAAACTGGAACGCGTGGCTCCCGGACAACATTCCCCAAACATAATAATCCATAGAACACGTGTAGACTGAACGATTGTGTACCAGCGAACGCTTTTATATAATAAAATTACCCTATTATATACGTTCTTTCGTCGATTTTGACCACTAAACCAGTATAAATCGACTCGGTCGACCAAAAACCTGAGGGAACACGTGCCGATGCGCACGTGGTCGTGAATGAGCGACGCGGAATACATATAACGATTCTCGCGAGCAATTCCACCCTCGCCGCACCCTCTGACGTCACGCAGCCTCCGCGTATTGATCCATTACGAAATTACAGTCTATATTTCGACTTGAGCAGAATGCAAGACGGTGCCACAATGTGCCACGTACAAAAAGTCAAGGCGTACCGGAAGTCCTCGCAGGCCGACTCGATTTCCCCCAAATTCAAAAGTTCCCGAAATCCTCTCTCGCCGAATAAATCCTTCGACATTTTTATTCGAACGGTCCGCAGCGTGCACGAGTAATTAAAACAAAAAGGAATAATAAAAACACCGCGGTATATATTTCATCGTGTTTTCTTTCAACTTCAACCCCGTTGCAAAAAGCTACGTGGCTCATCCCCCGTAGGAGAGAAAGGGGGGTGGCGTACGCGTTCGCTCAGATTCGCGACAAAACGGGGTTCGATCTGTGCCATCATCATGTAAAACCAGACGAAACGCGAGGGGTTGGTACCGGCGAGAGTCGAAAATGCTTGGGGTTTCGGGAGATCGGAGTTTCCGGTGGCGAAAACGGGGAGCAGTCGGGCCAGTTCTGTCGCAAGCTTCGCCGCGGCCAGACGTGCAAGTGGCGTTGCCTGCGCGCCGGGGTGAATCTTGCAAGCTCTCTCTTATCGAGCTTTCAGATGGCTGTGCCTTTTAGATTTTGACGTTTCTCCTCCTCGCTTTCCCCCCCTTTCTCCTATCGTAATTCTTAGTTTTCTGTTGACGGAGCGGACCGGTCGCCGGGCCCTCGACGTGTTCTCGACGCTAGAAAAAAAAGCCAGCAGCATGCCGAGAAAAATCGGATTCCACGTCGTGTACGCCACCAGTAAGGGGACAAACAGATTGTGACAGTGATTCGAACCTCAATTTACGATAACCTCGCGACGTGCGCCACGATTTTCCCGAGTGTGTTCGGCTCGTTCCGCGGAACAAAAGCGGTGATAAGCGATCGTTCGAAGCGACGACACGTCCGGTCGTCTGAAGCCGCGTAGCGAACGTTCCCGCACGCGGGCATTGATTTTCCGTAGGAAAAAACGGTCGATTTTTTGGGACCGTTTCGATTTCTCCTCGTCTTCGGAAAAGCGTGCGCCCGTAAAATGAAATTAACAAGCGAGCAATCGACACGTGCTTCAGCCACGTTTCCGCGGAGATCGCGATCGCCTTACGCCTTACGAATGAAGTCGCACAGGCCGTTCGGCGAATCGAATCGTCCCGGTTTCATCGTTTGTAATCACCGATAATTGGGAAAGTTATGCGACCCGTGCCGGCAATTGTTACGCTCGCGGTACGCGCGGATCTGCCGTGCGGATAACGCGAGCCAACGACACGGTCCGTGTCGACCGTTCCGGCCGCAGAAAGTATAATTTAAAACATTATCGATTACATCGGCATCTCCATTTTTTTTTGCCCGTGAAGGAGAACGATGTAATCCTGCCGGATCGCGCGAACTCGGAGCTTCGATTAGGCGTCCGCGGATTCGATTCGATGGAACGCGAGCATCGCGATGCGGCACGCGATTTTCACAGTGATTGCGATTGTTCCGGGTTTGTACGTATCTGTAATCTTTAAATAACCATAGGCGAAGAGGACAGGCACTCCTCGTTGGAGCTGAACGTTCACGGGCCGACGGTAAGGGGCTGGCAGAGTTCAAGAAGATGTGCGTATCCCCAGGAACTCATTCTACGGCTGCACGGCCCGACGAAGCTCACTAGGATACAAGTGTTGGCTCACCAATATCTTATCCGTGAGTCGATAAATAATGCTTTCATTGTTTCGGCGAAGGTGCGAGGTGCATTGGAAATTGCAGTACGGCTGAGGAAACGCGGTGATTCGACGGAGAGCAAGGGACGTAGAATGAAATTTGATTACTTGGCACCGTTTCTGAGAAAGCTTCCTATCATTAAAAGCTGCCTTTGGCATTGAATCTGACGCGATTGCAGCGGCATGATTTATTTCGCGATCAGTCTGAACGGTGTAATTATTTCAATACGAAAGAATGGATCGCCAATTTTTGGTGGTTTTTAACGATGTTAGAACGCGAACGTTGACATTGGAAGAACATCGTGAAATATCTTAGAACGTAACGATTCGATTTTAAAGCATGAGAAACAGAATATTTTTCTACTTGTCGCAAATTTTAATGAAATTAAATTGGATATAATTGTTGCTTAATATTGTTACGAGCATAATAAACGACGTGGCAGAACTGGCCATTTCATGAACGTTACTGTAACGTTATTTTTTTATGGTTTATAATACCGTGGAAACATTTTTTTTAACATGCCAGCCTTTGGAAGTTAAAAATTTGGCATGCACACGTGCGCTCGAATAGGTTCTTTGTGAGGAGAATAGCATAAATGTCGAAATGCTATACTGCGGATCGGATAATAAATAAAGAACACGGCATAAAATGTCGTTGCGGTGCGAACTCAATTTAAAAATTTGTTTTCGATGGAATGTAATTGAAAATTTTGCCAATATATACAACACTGAAATATTATTATATAATATAAATACTATTATTTAACGCAAAGCGTAGAGTAAAATTTACTGTTCGAGAAAATCCGATTAAAAAATTTTGTAACATACCGAACACGTACGAATTTGATTTTTTCAACAGAAGCAACTTTGATGATGGCCTTTTATTAATTTAATATGTAATAATTATTAATTTCCCTGTACTTAGATAATTAACTTGTGGTAGCCACGTGTTTTTAAACGATCATGCTCTTTAAGTTCGCGCTACGATGTTCGATGCACATTGCACAGAAAAAAGAAATGCTTCATAGAATCTGCAGAATTCAGAACCCTTGGTGTCCCGTAAAATGCAACCTAGTTACGAATGAAAATCGCATTAACTCCCTCACCCTGATTTCCTAAAGCAATTTTCATTTGCTCTCCCTGATTCGTCCTCTCCTCTTATTCCGCTCGGCGATGAATAGCGCTCGACACTTTTTAATCGTCATTGTTCCTCTCACAAACCATCAATTACACGTAAATCACTATATTCTACAACACGTTGATTGCAACGTCGCGACTCCGTAAAGTTTCGCAGCTTCGAAGCAATTAATTTAACACTATTCTTACCGAAGCGATCGGAAGATGTCTTTGAACAAATTTTAAATTATCTTCTGAGTATAATCACTAACACTATTTTTCATAATTTCATTGATGCTGCTTTCATGCTTTCATTAACACTTTTATAGCTTCATTAACACCCAGACAATTTTAGTCAGCTTGAACACGTCACGACGCAAGTTTACGTCTTTCATATCGCGAACATATGACCGCCGCGGTTATCAACAAACATTAAAATGCATCCGAGGGAATTCAATTCCATTAAAATCTCTAGATTGCAGAAGGTTTAAGAGAGTTCCTCCCGTGTGGAATTTGAACCCAGCGGTTCTGTTTCATTAATCAAATTGCTCCGATTCCGAGATATTACCCGCAGACAGCCTGCAGACAGTGTGCGGACGCTTTGTTATTTTATTCGAGCTCAAAATGTTAACGCGAAACCTTCGCAGAATTAAAAGTGTCTGACGTTGCTGTACAAGAATGACAAGATTGAATTTATTCAGACTTTTCGCTATTTCTATTACAATTAACTTACGACAGGAATACAAGAGAATAAGAGGGTGAGACACAGAATAGTCAAAATACCAGAAAAATTAAAAATACGGATATCCTAATAAGTTATCTTATTGTCATCGATAAGAGAAGAAACGGTTGTCGATTTTCCTCGCGATCATATCTGTTTAAAATAAAATTAATCTAAATAATAATAGTTTAATTATATAAAAAATATGTGCAAATATAATTATCTAAAATAGAAAATGCGACGCGAGAATTGTTCTCAATCACAGTAGAATTATCGTCGAAAGGGTTCGTCGGAGGAAGCGTTTAATCACTGGCGCAAGCTTTTTCGTTGCAGCGGAAAAACTGGAGATCTGGACATCGGTCGAGGAGAACGCCTCGGTAACAACGGAGTTCAGTTATTTGGGTTACATTACGTTGTCCGACAACGCTTCGACCATGTACAAAAGCAGGGAGCTTAAAAGCGTCGCGCTTCCGGAGACGGAAGCTGTCTCCTTGAAGCTGAGACTGCACAAACCGCACAGCAACGCGCACAATGTTTATCAGCAGGTTATTTTCTCCAGCACGACGCGTTTCTGGCACCGGTAAAATCGAGAGGGAGCAAGCTTTTCTATTCGCTGATTTTCCAGGTCGGTCTTATCGCTATCAATATCCTCGGCGAACCTTACGGGCAGGAGCTATCGGGTCAAGGGGACGCGCCGTACAATCCTCATTACACATCTCCCTACGACGATCTAGCCTTCGAAATGTATGTCGATCGCGACGTAGCTAAAATCGTCCGGCAGATGGAGGCGAAGAAGTTGCAAGCGGTCGAAGGTGCGTATCGAAATCATTTTAAAAGGACGACACTTGAGAGTAATTAGTTCGATTACATTTTTTTACGATCATTCCTTTTTTAAATTCTCTTTGAACTATAAAATCATATAGACGTTATAAAATATTCTGTAGCATCGTGATATACATGTATAATAATATACTGTTCCATATACATGTACAATAATATATCATTTCATATGTGTGTATAATAGTACATTGTTTCATATACATGTATAATAATACATTGTTTCATATACTTGTATAATAATACATTGTTTTATATACATGTATAATAATGCATTGTTTCATATACTTGTATAATAATACATTGTTTCATATACACGTATAATAACACATTGTTTCATATACATGTATAATAATACATTGTTTCATATACATATACAATAATACATTCTTTCATATACATGTATGATAATGCATTGTTTAATATACACACACAATAATAGATTAATAAATATTATTATTGTTAAATTTAAAAAATATTAAATAGACACACTTTGATTTTGTAGAATGTTCGTGGTCGACAGAACCGAAATGCTCAATATATTGAATTCTTTAGTAGAAGAATGAATAATGATTAATTTCACGAGTTCCTTTTTGAAGAAGCAAAAGTAAAATCCTTTTAATTTCCAGAGGAAAGGTTCGAGTACGCTTCAAAGCTGAAAGTGGCCATGGAAAATCTGAGGAAAGCCGGAGAGCGCCTTGGAAAGTACGAATTGGAGAAGAAGTATGCGATCGCGTTGGAGGATTATGATAAGGCCAAAGCGAAGAAAGCACAAGCGCAACAATATAGGCAGCAAGTCTACCAGAGCTTAGAGGTGCAGGATCTTCTGGAAGTTCATGGGGTAGGTACATTTATTTGTTGGACAAAAGAGTTCACTCTTGAACGGCGAAAGCAACAATTTGACTATTCAGTGAAATCAATAATGATTGTAATTAATAATTGTTCTCAATTAGACTTACAATACATTTAACCCTCATATGACTGTCGCTGATGACTTTACAAGCTTTGTGACAACTTTTGATCATTTCCCTTGAATAAATAGAAATTATTTAGCACAAACCTAATTTATTCATTAGTAATTGTTTAGTTAACGATAATAATAGTAATAAAATTTATCGTGTAAAATAAAATGAAGAATATAGAAAGGGGGATCCCTTTAAAATTTAATTACAGTTTAATTTGTTGATTTAAATTTTTAATTTGGATTATTGAAAATTATTCTTCTCACTTGTGACAATAAAATGGTCCTACAAGGGTTAAATATAAATCTTTAAACTTAAACAGTAGTTCAGAAATTCAAGAAGAAATTTCAGAAAATTGAATAAATAAGGATTAGAGTGAATCTACTTGTCCTGAATTGTGCAGTTATCAGAAATAAGAATAAAATTATAGCGATCAAAATTAAACTATTTGGTAAGAGTCGACTCTGTCAAAAGTGTCTATTGTTTCTACTTTGTGCTGTGATTCATCCCAATTTCACTCGGCTGTGTCCTATCATACGTAAACAGCCCCTGGAGAAAAACAACCAATCTTCGATAGAGGGTAAAGAACCGGTTTCGGTGGATACTACAAACACTACTACAGCCCCCGAGGACATTACGTCTCCTCCGAGATTAGTAATACCACCCAATCGCGATGGAGCTATATCACCAACTGGTCCCGCTCATCAACCACCTGTTTCGCCTTTGCATCAGAAACCAAACAGCCCCGGTACCATATTTCTACGGATTATTAACCCTTTGCACTGTGATCTCCTTCACAGTATAATTTCACAGTTAGGTTAATCAGCGCTTCTTCGTCGCTAATACATTCCTAAACGAGAGAGGAAAGTGTTTATTGCATGTGAACCCTTTGCGTTTATCCCTTGACTGCCGAAGGGTTGAATTTTACCTCGACTTAAAGGAACCGCGCAACGTCTGTATTTAGTAGATTATTATTGTTACAATGCAAGGGGTTAATTTCTTCTATGTTCGTGCTTTCAACCAAGGATTAATGAAACATTTGTTCGTTCTAATTTCGCAGAAGTTACCGACAGCCCTACGAACGGAGTCGTCGAGAGACAGAACAACTGCAATAAAGGATCCCTCAGACGGAAAACAAAGTCGGCGGGACCGGCACTTCGATCTAGTTACGAAGCTTACGAAGAGAGGACGATTCCTGCTCTGAGACAGTAATTATTTTTTCAAATCGTTAATCACAAAAGAGCACAGCGTAACTGCAAAAATAATAATAATTTGATTGATTGTACGAAGATGTTACCCCCGGTAACAAAATCTAGTAATTGAATTAGAATTATTATTTTTTCTACAAGATTTTGCACTGATCAAAAATTTGTCTATAATATTCAATCATACACTGAATCTATCGAACATATTTTTTTCGCCCTGCAGCATTAAGTCTTCCTACAATAAATTCCTAAAAACGCCATAGCTTTTATACGATTTCGTGAAATAAGTCCTCTAAATAAGTCTCTTAAAATAGTCCATTTTTAATTTATGCAAATGCCAATAGTTCCTCGCTAGGATTTAACGATCTCTTAAATTCGATATGCTCTATTTTGCACTGCAGCTCGCACACGAACGAGTTCACGAGAGAATGTCACATGGAGAACACGGAGACGAAAGTGATCTCGAAGCTGAACGACAGGGAGAAGAAGCAAGCTGCGTTACCAATAGCGGTCTTCGGAATGGAAATGGTGATGCAAGTTTCGAAATAATTTTTCCATTGACTCCTATACACGGATTAACGAAGTCCGCGTTGTATTAGGTGGAGAAATTCTACTCGAAACAATTCACGGATAAAGAGGAAGGCTTGATGCAGCTGAAGGAGGAATTGAAGACGTTCGATCCGGAAGTATTGAAACACTCTGCGAATAAAACCGCCAGGGCTGCGATTCTGCTTCTGCATAGAGCTCTCAGGGACAAGGTTTACAGCGTGTATAGTCTAGCGGCGCAATTAATTAGGATTTTCTTCTCCGAATTTGCGACAGATAGGTATGACCATTCTCTTCAGAATATAGCAATTGAAATAAGCATGAATTTGTTCAGTGTAATATTTTAAACTGTTTGTACAAGATATTAATTTTGAAATCAGATATAAATTTATAAATTATTACAAATTATTGTATATAATATAATATAATAATATATGTGATATAATATAATATAGTAATATATATTATATAATATAATATACTAATATATGTAATATAATATAATAATTTGTAATATATATAATATAATACAAAATTAGAGTATCTTGTACAAACGGTTTGAAATATTATAATATATAATTATTATTTACTGTGCATGCAGTAGAATCATAAATCTGCAGTTGATGTAAGTACGAACCCCTTTCCAGAGTGTCGTCCAACGAAATCGCAAGAAGCGTGGAACGACTTCTTCCGGAACTGTTGACCAAATCAGGGGACACCACACCTAGGATCCACAACATGGCAGTGCACACAATACTAAGTATGGCAGACTGCAAGTGTGTCAGGGAATTGCATTTAATACCGGTACATTTAACGAGGCCAGTCAGCAGTAGTACGCACCAACGACTGGCCCTTAGCAGGCTGGAGATGGTGGAGCAATTGATTCTCAACCATGGGATTTCTACTGACAAACAAAGGTGACCCTGAAGAACAAAATCTTCGCTTATCGGACTTTATGTTAACTGCTATGACCTATTTTTTGGAAAAAAAAGAGACCTGGGTTTCATTGACAGTCTTAATAGCTGTCACGCCACTCTTGCCACTTGTATTTTGTCAAACTGGAGTGGGATGGACAATTATTATGACTGATATGTACTTGAGGCTTCTTCTTTTGGAAAATAGAATGCACCGTGTGTCTATTTTAATGAGTTGGAAAATGTCAGATACTACTGAAAAGTATTTGTACAAAGAGGAACAAACGTGGTAGAAATATTTTTTGAATCAGTTTAAAAATGAGCTGTAATGTTATAAAAGTATAACAGTCAATTTAGCATTTGTGCCCTGTTAAGAAGAGTGTGACATTTAAATTGTAAAGAGAGAACAATTGAAACTGTGTTGAAAATTAAATAGTATCACAGTTGACATAAAATTCTGGAAAAAATCTAGTACTTAACTCTCTCAGAATATCTACAAATTATTAATGTTCCATTACTTCAAGTATTACAGTAAACAAAATTACAATTAAAAGCACCAGTCAACAGCTCTTTAATACTGGAACTACCAAACCCTAAATAAGTTTGACAGCTCTAGTATTAAAAACACTTTTCAACATATTCCAGTGGGTTAAAATAGTCACGCCGTAGTTGTTTAGATCATCCCCTATCTCATGAACATTGTTCAGCCTCTGTCAATGACTTTCATCAGGGCCGTCCTTGTGGCAGTCATTAGCGGAGGTTCATTCACCTCATTAAGCCCCCAGCCGTCAAACGCAATTACTCTGATAAGATATTGTAATTGTTGCAGCGGGCTCACGTGTCGGACGCTCTCGGAATTAGGTTCTTCGGGGTTGCATCACCCAGCGGAAGCGGTCAGGAAGGTGTCGGAGAGGATTCTGGTGCTGGTATACAAGGTCAATCCAAGATTGGTCCGTAAACAGTTGCCTCCAGATGATGACATCACAAGAAGGAACTTGTTATACCGTCAACTGTTTCATGAGTTTGACCTCATCGACCTTCAGGTATTAAAGATATCAAAATACGAGCGAGTCAGAGCTTTATTGTTTAGGACGCTACATTGTTCTCATTTGATACTTTATTAAATCTGTATTTTAATCTTGTTATGAGGTACTATATTTGGTGTTACATGAGTGTAGACATTTATGATATGTCTCTATTTGCACGTTTACAGAGAAAAAAGGAAGCGGAAGCGTGTCACAAAACAACGACACCGACGCGGACGAAGACGACGGAGAACAATGTAGCAAACTTGACGAAATCTCCTTCGAGAACTAGTCCTGTCGTTAGCACCGGAAGCTCAACGAGTATAACATCTCCGTCCGAAAATAGTACAGATCACAAGGGAGACAAGTGAGTGATTTCTAATTAGATTTTACGAGAGAAAGAAGTCACCTCATTCTAAACAATTTTGTATCGTTGCATTGTCTACTTTTGTAGAATGTGCATATTCTGCCTTTCAAAAGGGCAAGGATATTCAGAGGAAGGGCTGAATATTCATTACTGGAGAAGCTGTCCCATGCTGACGAAATGCGAATCGTGTAAGCAAGTGGTAGAAATTTCGTATCTGAACCTTCACTTGTTGAGTAAGTACATCATCGTTCTACATTGTTTAGGCGATCGCTTACTCTACAGCTTATGTTTACATTGTCCGCTTCAGACGAATGTGATATGAGAAGCAATTATGTGAAATGCGAAACCTGCAAGCTAGCTATTCACGAGAACTCCTTTAATGAGCATAGGAAAAGTAATAAGTGTACAAGTATGTATCGCAAGCTATGATGATGAAAAAGAGGATTCTAGTTGAGCAAAATTTAGAAAATAAGCAACTTCTCTGAATATGATTATTCGACTGTGAACTGTTAACACGTTAGACAAATGTGAGAATATTGTTATTGGCGTTGTTAACAACAAAAACAAGCCTTGATTTAACTTCTGTTTTGTGTAAAAATAGGAACAGAAATAACGTTGGGAATAATAAATAAATATTTGAATAGATAAATAACAAAATAATTTTGCTTAACTAGAATCGTCATTTTGATTACAATACAAGGCAAAGCAATAGCAATATTACGCAAACAATTATTTATATTTCGTCTCATTACAGAACCCATCGAGGGCTACGACCGTTGTCCACTCTGCTCGAGTCTCGTGAATCAAAATAAATGGAGGGAGCATCTCATGGGTGATCATCCTTGTACAAATAACCCAAGAAACAGATTAGTAAAAAGCTGTAAGTGTTAAAAGCCTATGTTCGCCGCACAGTGCTCTGAATCTGCAAAAAACGCAAAGTTTATACCACTGTTATTTATATACTATTGATTATCAGAATGAAAAACAACCCCTTTGAGGGATGTTCACGCTGCTAATCAATTAAAATTATACAAACATACTTCAAATAATTACAGATAATTACAAAACACTCTGTATAATTACAAAACATTTCTGCTAACATTGAGTTCCTATTTTTGAGAATTCGGAGCACTGTGTGTCATCTACGTGGCAAATGAATGCATTATTTAATTCGCAGGTTCAAAGTCTCCATCCAATTCTCAAAACCTTGGCGGGAAGATGACATCACCAACCAGTAGAGATTACTAACATTAATCGTTAGTTTTTCGAAGACCTCGGAGTATACAAATTTTTTAGAGAACTTTTTACTTTATGTTTCTTTTATAGTTTATTTGTGTGTTACGAGCTGTCCAGCGTTTTCCATATTTGTACCGATTTATTTTCTTTTTAATAGAAAAGCCCGTCCTTCATTACTAGATATATCTCTGTGTTATATCGAAATTTCTAATCGTAAGTTGAAATCTTCTAGTCTCTAGTATATTAGGAGTCTTGTTATCAACTAAATTGACAACCAGACCAGGAAATCTAACGCACTCTGCAGTCCTGAACTGCGGTCACACGAGGGTTTTTACATGCACAAACCATAGCATTCAATTTTAAATCGGTATGAAGGTCAACTGTGCCTTACAAGAGACTTAATTATTTATTTCTCAGTGAATTAGTCAATAGAACTTTTCAGCTCAACTCTTCATCTAGCACCGACAAATTGTTATTAAAATAAATACCATTAATTCAAGAGATATGTCAATTCGAGTACCATGTAGCAATAGGATAAATACTTAGTTTCTTAAAGTGACCTTAGAATGACCCTTTTTAGCAATTACTGTAGACATTTTTCAGAGATCTACTTCAAATTGGGATTGTAAAGACTTCTCAAATAAATTCTATTTTTTAAATACTTTCAGAAGAAGTATAAGTATGCCGAAAAATCCGGTTGACCTTCAAATGTACTCCACATGCCCGCGTACAAGAAAGCCTCTTATATTAAATTACTATAATTGACATTTTATTTGCGACATTTTTTTGGTATAGATAATTTCTTAAATATTCCGGAAAAGTGGTTTAAAATAATTGTTCTGTACAAATTAATTAGAATTGTTCTGGTCAAAATAATATATGTAGACATTTATTAATTACATAAATCGAACGTAACGCTCGTGTGACCATAGTCCGAGACGGATATCAACGAGTTGTAGCAAGTACTCATCTTTTTCGAATTTAACATACGGTAGTAAAAAGGAGTTCCATACAATTTACAAACATGTTATTGAACGTTATGGCGACCGCCGTTTTTGAATGAATGATTCCTCAGCATCCGGCCATGTTTATAATAATATTTGTACTATAATCAATGAGTCAAATAATATCCTAGTGGCCGAACATGATGAACGAAAGGAAAGGGTACTCGTCGCTCAAAATAACTCGGAGTAATATATGTAATTTCATAAATTATTTCATTGAAAATGGATAGTAAACACGGCATTTCCCATAAGATCATTGTAACTTTCTTGTCCCGTAGAAGTAATTTATTTTCGTTCTCATTGTAGTAAGTTTAATCGTGCCATATTAAACATGACCTGTCTTGACACTCTTCTTGGACTTCAACGAGTGGAGCACCATCATACACGACTTAAATAAAATAAAATTTTTTACTCTTAAGACATGCTACTGATATTTATAATGACATTAAAGAAACAGCAATTTATATTACAGAATTGCGTGTTATTCTTTCGATTCGTTTGGTAGTTTTCAATTGGTCGTCTCTGAAATATCCTTCATTTCGATAACATTATTTTCACTAACTTTTGCATCGTCAGTAACTTCCGATTGGGTATTCCCTAATTCCACAGATGTTTCTGAAACATCCATTTTTTCCAATTTGACAATAGCTGTTTTGTTGGTATTGTTTTCTTCTAAAATAGAAATTTTCAAGTAAAGAAAGTATCGTATGTAGAATAGAATAAAAATGTTTCGTGAATACATACCGGATTCTAAATTATTCTCTATTTCGGACATATTTTCATCAGCATTTACTTCATCAATAACTTCCTTTTTAACAGTAATTTCTGGTTCAGTTTTAACTTCTGCTTCAGTTTTAACTTCTGTTTCTTCGGCGCGTTCCTTGAATTTGTTTCTCTCTGAGATGCAAATTTTCGAATAAAGGAAACACTATATTTAGAGTAACACATACTTCATAAATACTTACCGAACATTGAACAATCAGCTCCCAACAAACGTAAATAATGTATCGCGTCAATTAAAGGGACATAAGCCCTGAGAGACATAGTACCCCTCCATCCTACTATATTTAATTTCAATGGATTCGGATTGTCGGTCCCTTTTTCTTCATAAATTAAAACACAACTTCCAGTTTCTAAATAAAAATGAATGAATTTTCACATTAAAAGATCCACATTGAGTATATATTTCAAGAATGCAAAAATTATTACCAAGATTTTTTAAAGATTCTTGTGTATCTGGATGAAGTTTCACTATTTCGGGTGCTGCCTTAGGATCATTATTTTGCAATAATGTTACTAAATCTTCTCTATTTATTGGAACCCTTCTGCTATCACCAATATAATTAATAAGAATTTGCAGGCCCTCCCACGCAAGCCTATATGGGAAATGGTTGTTTTTGTTCGCGTTCCTGCTTTCGCAACGTGTAAATGATTTCACTCCAGTATTTATCAATTTTATTTGGTCCTCGTTCGACAGAACAACGTTACGAATTTCGGGTGATGTATAGTAAATGTTTTTTTTCCTACGTCCTAAATTTCGTACTAATAAACTTTTAGCATCCAGTTCGTCGGATATACCATAGAATTTTCTAAAAAAATTGTACTCAATTAATCAGCGAAATGAATAAATAATTCACTACATTGATTAATAAACTGTATTCTATTTTAAATAGATTTTTGTCCGCTAAATAGAAATTAACAAAAAAAGTAGCTTTATACACGAAGCATTTCTGATCAGTTTAGAGCAATGTAAAATATGAGCAATTCATATTCAATGCACAAAACTCTGCACAAACTGTATATTGAAAATTGGAAGTCGAAATACATATTGAACGTGATATGATATTTACTACTTACTTAACTGATAACCAGACCTCGTCCTGATCATTTTTGAAGAAAATAAACGGATCCTCCCTAAAACCCTTGGCTTTTCTACGATTCCTCCTCAGACCTCGAGGTTTCTGATCATCACTTAATGGTTTTTTTCCCGAGGATAATTGGTGATCTTTATCTTTCTCTGCCTCTTCCTCCAAGCTTAATTCTTCAGTGCCTTCCTTAGCATCAGACTCATTCTGACTCGATTCCCAAGGTAATGGTTTTACCTTTTCTAAAACGGCCACGAAGAAACCACCGGTGTCTTGATGATGTGGTAATATCCTCATACTATGTAATTTTGAAAATGAAAGTAGCATTAATTGTGAAAGTATCGAATATTTTTATTTACCATCGTTCAAAATGGAATTTAGCAGCATCCTCTGGTTTTGGAGGGAACATTTTCGGTCGCACTTGTGTTTGCCATTGTTCCGGCACATCTTCCCATGATTTATAATACTGTAAATCTTTCGATGCCGGTAACCAATGTGACACACCTATTAATGAGCAAGTTAGAAATTGTATGATTTATTCAATGTTCAAGATGTACCATATAATATACCTGGATCGCATACTAATCCGGGAACCAAATCCCTGCCTTCAACTATATGTACAGAATCTCCAGTTTCGAGAAGAAGTCTATGTAGAACTGCTTCATTTTCAATTGGATTTAATGAGCAAGTAGAATATACCATTCTACCACCAACTGCTAATAACTCCAAACCCCTCTTTGCTATCCTATATTGAACTCTGTGGATCCACAGAGAATCCAGTATGGATCCTAGTTATTTTACTTATCAAATTATATATTGTTTAGTAGTATGTGATACTTACCCATGAAGATTATTACCATTAGCTGGACTCCACTTACACCAGATATCTGGATTTTTTCTCATTGTACCATCTCCACTGCATGGTACATCAGCAAGTATTCTATCAAATCTGTAATAAAATGCATAAATTATTTAATTCTATAAATTCTTCATATTTTATACCATGAACTCTACTAACTTTAAGTCTTCTTTTGTACCATCTGGTGTTGTAAATGTTAAATTAGGCAACACAGAAGCATCGTGATTTGTAATTAAAATAACTGGACTATTAAGCCTCTTTGCTTGATGCACAAGCATATAACAACGATTATTGTCCAAATCATTGGCTATTACAAAACCCTCTGTAAGATGTTGGAAAAGGAAGTAATTTATATGAAGGAAATGCAAGAATTAAGTTAGACCTAACTACAAAACTTTCACCTACCTGGCAATCCATTTCCCTCATCAGGATGTAGCATTTCTATAAGCTGAGCTGTTTTTGATCCCGGTGCAGCACACATATCTAGAACCTATTTCAATTAATTATAATTTACATCTGTATAAAAACTACATTGTAACTACAGGGTATAATTATACCTTGTGTGAAGGTTTCACGTCTAATACTAAAGGTGGTACCATGCTAACCACCTCTTGTCGGCTGATACTGCCACAATTAGTTTCAACAACTAAAAAATTATGCAGTTTAAAATAAGCTTCAGATCTCCTGATATCTTTCCTCGTCAACTGTAGCTGCCAAGCTAAGCAGTCAGGATAAAATGGCAGACAATGTAATATCTCCTTGGTTTCTTCACTATTTTCGGAGTAATTTTCTAAACTGGTGTTTAGGATTTCTTTGAAAAAATCCCCTTTAATAGTCTCAAGTAATCTCTTAGCTTCCATTTTTGATCCAGTAATTCTAAATGCTACTGGCAGATTTTTTTTCATCATAGTCATAAATGAGTCCCACTGATCATCTGGTACAATTCCCTGAGTTTTATAATAATTTTCAAATTCTGCATTTTCTCTGATAATGTCGGCATAGTTACGATGAGGTGTGTGATCCCATTCATCCTTTTTCTGTATAAATTATAATAATTTTATGTATTACTATTTAAACTTGTTTATACCGTATAGATAAATACATTTGAAACTAATAAAATTGGAATTATTTCAAACAGGTCCAAAAAGTATATACACCTTCTTATTTCTCAATTTTCTACATTTCGTGTATTATTATTGTATAATAAATTATTCGAAATTGTTAACATATAAATTCTTAAACATAACCGCAAATTGGAAGCCGGTGCTCTTTTTTGTGAGTAACTATTTCGTACCTTTTGTTTCTCACGACGCTTCTCAGCGAAATTCTTTTTCGGCGCATGTTTTCGTCCTTTCCCCATTTTTATGTAGAATAAATGCGTTCACAACAAAACATTTAACAATGAACACGTGTTCAGTAAACACCAACAACTCGCCTTATTGAATTCGAAGAATATCAACGATAGAGATATTAACAATAAGTTATCCCAATGTATCGTGTATTAATAGTTCGATTGTATTTATACTGTAATGTTTAATGCTAGTATAAACAAAAAAAACAAAGATTCCTAGTGAATATCTTATGGTGTCGGATGATAGGTTGACAATAGACACACAAGTCCACTTTCACATACATAGATAGATACATACTATTATAGTATGTGTATTGCATACGCATGTATAATGTACGTATATACATATATAATAGAGGGTGTTTGGCAACAGGTGAGAGAAAATTCAAATTCCACATAATTATTCATGGCAAAAAAAGAGTTAAATTATACAAAACAAAAAGGGATGATTTCGTGCTAGTTCTTTAGTCAGTAACAGTTAAAAATCATCCTTAAAAATTCACCTATAGCGACATGTACGTGTATGAGCAGAAACGTGTGTGCATACGTCCAAATACAACTATGAAGCACAGACTTAGGATTCCATGTAATGCTTTTTTCGTCTCAGGGTCTGTAGAAAATGCTGTGGTACGATAGTGGCTCTATCTAAATGGAACGGACAGCTTAGTGAACTACATCTGATTGTAACAGAGAAAAATATGTATACATATGTCTGAGGTGGCTAAATTTACAGCATTGCTAGCTTTTAAAAAACCATAATACAGAAATAGTCCCTTAAGCTACAACATGTTTTATTTGAAATACTTTCATTAAACAATTATGTAGTTATTCGTTGACTTGAACAAAAAATCCATTTTTAATTTATTATACATATTAAATTGTTAAAAAACTTTGAAATTTTGAATTCACATATTTTTTAATTACAATTGTCATCCATATGTATATGCCGCCTAACTATTTAAATATATTAGTCCAAGGAATATAAGTAGAATAGTCCTGTAAGAATAGAATAGAATTAGTTCTGTAGAATATAAGTACGGTTTTTAATATTTATAGTTTATAAGTAATATTAACAAAATTTCCACACATCTACATAACTTCTTATAATAAGGCTTATGCAATAATACTCGTCTTAATATGGAAGTTACTATTTCTTAATACGAAGATATTAAGAAAGGCATACAAAATAGCGACGTCGTAATTGTTAATGTGTTCTCGTATATGTATATGCTGATATTCGTACATACTTATACCAAAAATTACGCAAATTAAAATATATCGTCGAAAACCGTAAGTAAAGCTGGTTGGTGAACTTCGTATGAAACGTAAGAATTCTCACGTACTCCATTTTATCCGATTTATGGCATGTTTGGACTTCTCTCAATCAGAAAAAAATATTACCAGTTCTTTGGTACTGTTTCTAAAACAAGATTGTTATGTATAACGATAATCTTATTGCTATTAATAAACAATGGTAAAACGCTTACAATATAATTGTCTTCAAGAGGCCCACATTCGATTACGGTCGTGGCGCGTGGCCCAATGTAGAATGATAGCACTGCAAAGCTTATAAATTTATTAACGTTGTAAATACCCATCTGCAAAGAAAAAAATGTATATAACTATTGCTACATAATTAGTAGAAATAATTGTTTAACTGCCTATAAAAATAATTACATTTTATATCGTATTTTTGTGGTACGTGTTTCATACATACTATTTCAAGGAGGCTCTAGAGGCCCTGAAGCTGAGACAGAAAAACCCATAAGATGCAATATCTTTATGGATCTTTTTTTTTTATTTTTTCAGGAGGCGGGGCGAGACATGCGCTCCCAGCCAGTATGGGACTCTCCAGTAAACCGGCCTGCACACTAAACCCTTCCTCAGAGCTTCAGCTCTTCAAGCCGTCTTGCGTGATGACTACAGATCCCGTGGGCGTTGTATTTAATAATACTTCCCCGGGTATCCGTTGGAACAAGCCTCGTCATATCTGTCAAAAGTCTGTGCTTTTGCAATAATGAGCATATATGCAGTGGCAGATTAACCCCAAGGCGCTTGAGGCGTACGCCTGGGATCCCCGAAGAAAGAGTCAAAATTGGCAAAATGTGAATTTTATGTTTATTTTAGATTTACTTTAAAAAGACGAAAGAGGTACGTAAGATGTAACGAGCTGTCTATTACGAGACCACCAAAAATCGTTATTTTTTTTCATTGCGACCTTCATGAATCTATCGCTGCTATTACTCTCGCTTGCTACGTGCAATATAAATATTTAGATGTATCCAACAATACTTTAGCAAAAATTGCTTTGAAATAAGAAAAGATTTAAAGTTATATCACTCTGTAAATCACCCGTGTAATTTCACTATCTGAATCTTATTGAAAAATTGTGGGACAGATGGCACCAAAAATTTCAGGAGAAACCACACGTTTAAAACAAGAAGTAAAAAATATATTCCACAAAAGAGAACACCAGCATTTTCATATTGATTAATTAAATATGTCGTTTTCAACATACTAATACGCTTATTACACATTATTATACAACAAAATGAATATCTCGCACGGTATTACTATCTATGATAAATTCTTACAAAGTATAAATCTTTATAAGATATTAAATCTAATTCGTCAAGTGGAACCAAATTACTTAATTCCTTGTCAAAATTCATTAATGATGCGAGAAATAATTTTGAACTTACAGAAAAATATTTATTACCATACCAATTTATAATGCAAGCGGAAAAAGATCATTCTACGTTTTAAATGATTTGGCTCTGATGTTCATCGAAAATTATATAGTTAATACCTTAGACTACGAAGAAATTATCAATAATTTTTCAAAGCAAAAGCCTAGAAAGTAAAAAAAAAATTTTTTTAATTCAGAGAAATTAATTTCTCGATACTGCAAATAAAATTTTATAAATTTAATTTTTCCCTATTAATTATGTTTTCATTTTAGGGGCCTATAGCATATTAAAGGCATCAATTTTGTTTTGCGCCTCGGGCACCAGTACACCCAGTACACCACTGCATATATGTATAATAACATAGCAATGTGGATCCAACTAAATGTGGATAATGATCTATTCAGATTGAAAGTTTTGTTCGAATTGAGTTACTTGAATAACAAAAATAGTTGTTCGACCAGAATAACTATTGCTTCAGTCATGTGAGATGGATTGGACGCGTACAAATCCGGAGAGTAATCGTTCACCTTCTCTCGTAGATTAATATTTTCCGGTTCCAAGTATTTTCCGCAGTGACCTTGATCCTTCGGAAATTGCATAATTGGCTTAATATGCTATGGATATGTGCAGCGGGATCCCCCCTCAATCTCAGTGTTTCGAACAACGGAAAATCCTCGCCTTTGGATCGTTTTAATCTCTTGCAGGCTTTCTCATAACCGGGCCATAGTTGTGGCTCGATTACGATCATATCCGTTAACGAGCAAGCCTTCCGCAGGAATTTGATTAATCCTTTGTCGCCGTGATTTAAGTGGATCCACATTGTAACTGAAAAACAAAATACCACGTCGAAACGCGGTTTCCCGGTCTGACGAAGATATTCTCCCAGTACTCTGTTGCTACTATCTTCGACAAAATCGAGGCAGTTGAAGGTCATCCGATCCGGCCGCGGATTACGTTCCTGCGCTCGCTCGATTAAAATCATATCGAGGTCCACGCCAAGAAGAAACACCTCTCTTTCTTCCACGAATCTTTCTAGGAATCTGCGCAACAGGAATGTCAGGTCCTGAAAATGAAAATATTCATTTACTAGTAATTAGGTTTTTAAGAGGAGGATATTTTCCATTGAGAGAGAGAGAGAGAAAGAAAGAGAGAGAGAGAGAGAGAGAGAGAGAGAAATTTAATTATTTTGTCAGATTCTGTCAACAAATATTTGACACATATTTCTTTGGATACACTTTCCATAGAGAGATAAAAAAATGGATAAATATATGGAGCATCTTATTAATAATAAGGATAAAAAGAAACTATTTGCCGGTGTCTCAGTTATTTACTGACAAATTGCGGGAAGTATGTTCTGTTCACGGAAACGAGTTCCGGCGCAAAGGCACTGCGGTATTAATAAAAAAAAGGGGATTTCCGGAAACGGAAAAGGCGTGCATCATTTGTAATTTCGTCCCATTTTGTCCAATATCTGTTTCAAACTCACCCCCGCGTTACAGCCCACGTCTAGGGCTACGTATTTAGGGCCCGGTTGGGTTGGTCGCCACACATCGAATGGAAGTTGTAGCAGGCGATCTTCCACAGGACGGACATCGTAATAATTTGAAAAGTTTCCATGACGACTAGCGGCCGGATCTTCCCGTTTTTTCACAGTTGGTGTCGTGGACTCTTCCTCCATTTCGAAATATCTGAAATGCAAAGTGTATTTGTTCAATTCAGTTAGAATTCTCAAAAATCACTTTGAACCCTGAAGTGGTTAACTTTTTGTATTCAGAGCTATCTGGATTAATAAACCCGGGTATTTCGTCTGATCTAGAATATTTTTCTTGGATATGGCAAGAGTACAGAATTTCAAGGAAAATAAAAATTATTTGCGCGACATTCGAGCCACAAAAGACAACGTTTCTGCCACATTCGTGATTTTGCCGTCCTTGAGCCCGGTCAACCGCGGGCCACAATGATCAATAGATTGCTTCAAGTGGCAGGGAAGCGGCCCGTGTGCGTTGACTCTTAAGCATTTATTTGGTTGAAGCATTTATTATACTAGACGTTAACATAATCTCTTCATTTCGTTGATCGTAAATTCTCTGTAACACGTTTCGTTAAAATTTTAGAAATCTTTCAATCTCTTAAAATTTGATCAGACTTAATGGAAGACTGCTCCCATAAAATATCGATGTCTTATATCTGATTGGAAATTTAACTTGAAAATGAATATTACTGTGCTATGCTAGGAATACACAAGTGAGATAAAATGTAAAAAATTTAATTGACATATAAGGAAATGCAATTGAAAGATTTTTACAAATCGCAGTCCATATATTACACTATAAAGATAGTAACAATAATTTTGGTAATGTTTACTATGAATACTTACCTTTATTAAACCAGCTCACGACGAGCTCCTCGAAAATTTGGTACCGTTCGCTTCGATAGGCTCCGCGAAAGTGAGTGTCGGGTGTTGGCCCATACAAAACCAAGGTTACGTTTCTTTCCTCTGCTCTGCGTGGGTGGGGTGCCTTTTAGGGTGGGGGCATCCAATACATTGTTTACTACACACGAACATATGTACGTGTAACGGTCATTCCACCCAAAGGTCGGAATAAGACTCCACACAACATAAAGANAGAAATTTAATTATTTTGTCAGATTCTGTCAACAAATATTTGACACATATTTCTTTGGATACACTTTCCATAGAGAGATAAAAAAATGGATAAATATATGGAGCATCTTATTAATAATAAGGATAAAAAGAAACTATTTGCCGGTGTCTCAGTTATTTACTGACAAATTGCGGGAAGTATGTTCTGTTCACGGAAACGAGTTCCGGCGCAAAGGCACTGCGGTATTAATAAAAAAAAGGGGATTTCCGGAAACGGAAAAGGCGTGCATCATTTGTAATTTCGTCCCATTTTGTCCAATATCTGTTTCAAACTCACCCCCGCGTTACAGCCCACGTCTAGGGCTACGTATTTAGGGCCCGGTTGGGTTGGTCGCCACACATCGAATGGAAGTTGTAGCAGGCGATCTTCCACAGGACGGACATCGTAATAATTTGAAAAGTTTCCATGACGACTAGCGGCCGGATCTTCCCGTTTTTTCACAGTTGGTGTCGTGGACTCTTCCTCCATTTCGAAATATCTGAAATGCAAAGTGTATTTGTTCAATTCAGTTAGAATTCTCAAAAATCACTTTGAACCCTGAAGTGGTTAACTTTTTGTATTCAGAGCTATCTGGATTAATAAACCCGGGTATTTCGTCTGATCTAGAATATTTTTCTTGGATATGGCAAGAGTACAGAATTTCAAGGAAAATAAAAATTATTTGCGCGACATTCGAGCCACAAAAGACAACGTTTCTGCCACATTCGTGATTTTGCCGTCCTTGAGCCCGGTCAACCGCGGGCCACAATGATCAATAGATTGCTTCAAGTGGCAGGGAAGCGGCCCGTGTGCGTTGACTCTTAAGCATTTATTTGGTTGAAGCATTTATTATACTAGACGTTAACATAATCTCTTCATTTCGTTGATCGTAAATTCTCTGTAACACGTTTCGTTAAAATTTTAGAAATCTTTCAATCTCTTAAAATTTGATCAGACTTAATGGAAGACTGCTCCCATAAAATATCGATGTCTTATATCTGATTGGAAATTTAACTTGAAAATGAATATTACTGTGCTATGCTAGGAATACACAAGTGAGATAAAATGTAAAAAATTTAATTGACATATAAGGAAATGCAATTGAAAGATTTTTACAAATCGCAGTCCATATATTACACTATAAAGATAGTAACAATAATTTTGGTAATGTTTACTATGAATACTTACCTTTATTAAACCAGCTCACGACGAGCTCCTCGAAAATTTGGTACCGTTCGCTTCGATAGGCTCCGCGAAAGTGAGTGTCGGGTGTTGGCCCATACAAAACCAAGGTTACGTTTCTTTCCTCTGCTCTGCGTGGGTGGGGTGCCTTTTAGGGTGGGGGCATCCAATACATTGTTTACTACACACGAACATATGTACGTGTAACGGTCATTCCACCCAAAGGTCGGAATAAGACTCCACACAACATAAAGACCGCGAGAGCTACGCCTCCTTGCTCCTGATTCCCGTCGCAGCGTCTCGCTCCCCGCGTTGCCCCGTTCGACTCGGAGCACCACTCGATCAATAGAGTACCCATGGGGTACTATTGTTGATGCATTTTCTTTGTCAGTGGTAGGTCAGTGATCCCTTGTAGACCTATTCCAGGGAGGACAAACTTCATCATCGCGGACTGTACTCATTGTCCTTTCAGCTAGTTCGTTCCACCTCCACCAAAAATGTGAACGACAAGAGAAATTGGCGTGTGTGCGGTGTGCGAAGCACGAGTGTGCGTGTGGTCACGTGGTGACGTACAGATCACGAGTAACCTTCAGGCTGTCAGTTCATCACCCCTGACCTATATAGCCTGAATTTAAAGTTACAGAGACGCACCCAACCAGTTCACAACAAGATATGTAGCTATGTCGATTCTTCCCTTAGGAAACTTTTACTGTTTAAAAATCATCTAAATGTAGAACCAACAAATTGGTTCTTTATCCCGTAATGTAAATAAATTTTCGAAGAATTCGGCACTAACTGCGATTTTGATAACCGTGTTCACATTTTCGATTCGATCAGAAATGATCTAATTCTCTTTGAGAATGCCCTCGCTGCAAAAATTGAAGAACAACCCCTCGAGTATCAAAGGGAAGTGTGCGATCTTCAGCACGTACAAGCTGATGCGAGCGTCGCCCTAATGTGCCCGGTATTAGCATTAGGTATGATTACTACGATAACGCCTGAGCTCCTGCGAATCAAAGGGGATAACGTGGGGAGCGAATCAGGTAGCGTAGCCCTCGCCTTGTTCCAAACTCTGGCCCATGTCAAATCGATCACTTTCTTCCCTCGATGTCTGGAATTTAATTCAAACTGAAATATGATGTACTTAGTACATGTAATACTTAGGATTTTTTATCTCGGAAACTATTGATCGTATCGAGATGTATCTTCTTTAATTTTACTTGGGAAGGATCTATCTTTTTAAATAAATTTTGATCTGATTGAGAAATTGTTTTTACAACGTTGAAAATTATAAACAAATTTTTATTTTTTAAATACGGACTCGAGATCGCGTTTCTAAAAATTCAAAAAAAATACTATCATATACCTTGGTCTTTTCTCTATAAATATATGTTTTCCGTAGGATGGCGCGACACATATTAAACACACAGTGAAGCGCCGAAGATAAAAGGATCGCGCGCTCCGCTATGATAGTCAGTGAACCAAACCACCATCTACCCATATTATTGTAATGAAATTTAAAAATACAATCGAAAAGTTTCATAGCTATCAGAATAGAGTCATTTATATTCGCATACGATTAGGCTCTCTACATTTGATCTGAACTAAAAAGTTCACCCGTTGTGTTTACTTCTTGCTGCTGCGTCATCGTGTTTGAAAGAAAACAGTGGAGAAGCGACAGCTGACGGCTCATGCACGCCGTGTCTCGTTATGCACGCATAGACAGAATTCAATGTAGTAGTAGCAACAGTTTTTCCTTAATATCTCAAAAACTAGGGCTGAGTGGCCCTAAATGGAAAAGGAAAAAATTGTTCAGAATATCATCCTTCATAACATATTCCAGATCCATTGAAACCATAGGTGGTGTAAGCCTAATGAAACAATTTCTCAATCAGATCAAAATTTATTGAGAAAGGTGAATCCTTCCCAAGTAAAACTAAAAAAGCTACATCTCAATACGATCAATACTTTCCGAGATAAACATTTTTAAGTACAATAATCCATTTTCGCAAAAGTGGACAAAAATCGTAAATTTCAGGGACCTGTATTTTTTAAACAAATTCAAAATTAGCAAAATGATGACTTAAACCCCCCTCAAACATCACATGGACTACATCATATTTCAGTCTGATGAAAATCCCAGATATCGAGGGGGAAAAAATGATCGATTTGGCGTGGAATGACTCGTAAACCACATTCCAGTTTATTCCCTACCAAAAGTGACGCTTTACTATCGAAGTAAGCAGGTCTGGAGTGGTCAATTGTGATTCCTAAAAGTACAATTTACTCTCGTTCTCCAAAATGCCAAATATTATGTTATTGTGGAGTCATTTGTAATATTCGGCAGCAAGACTTTCAAAGCAAAGATGGCCACCGCCGATAGATTTTCCTGTGTAAATATCGAGAGATTTAGCGTTCGTATTACAAAAATAAGACTGGACCGATATGCCTAGGTCAAATACAAAAGCGGCGGTGAGTATTTTTAGTTGATTACTTACTTATTTAAACACGTAAAACTAGTAGGAAACACTACCTTGTGGATCGGATATTTTTCACTACTGGCGCTATTGTTTCCTTCGGACCAAAAACCCCACCGCAGACGAGCTCGAATATGAAATCTGATACATAGATATCTCATCTATGTATAATGAAGTATCTAACTGATAAGCCAATAGTACCTGTTGATATAGACATTGCATCTTATGATCGTTTCTATCTAGGGTTTAGGTGGCCCTAAGACCTTTTGTTACCGATAGTTCCTGGATTTCATTCTGGTCCATGACAGAGACTAACGCAGATTTAGAATCTTAAATCTGTGCCTCTATTTTTTTTACCGATGTCAATATTTCAGAACGTATAACATGGGACACTGTATGGTGTCCAATCTACTCTGACACCTTATCCGTGTGGTCTGTGCATATCCCAAGTTGTGGTTGAATATGTACACACAGTCATGCCTCACCATAGTTAGCAATTCTGTTTCAGCATAGTATGTAAGCATTTTTATCATCCAGGTCCGTGCAGTTGCTTTAAAAGGAGAACAGGAGATGATCAAGAGAGACAGCACGAAACAAGCTAGCTCTATGTGTAGTGTCTACACAGATGAGAAACCTAGCAGCCTCACCTAGCGCATCCGTACGACTGGCGCTCCATCTGAAATGCATGGCGCGATATTCGACTTGTACTTTTCGCCCAGTAGGATTCTCGATCACACAATTCAGCGTATTTACGAACGTTTTAAATTTCTACAAATATTAAAATTTCCGAAAACCCGTAAGCTACATTTTATATAATTCCGCCAGGGGTCCGAGCTTCTCCAGGTATCGTAAAACCTTTTATTGTTGGTCCAGATACTTTCCTTCCCTGAGAAACCGTTATTTAATATCATATAAATTGAAAAACTGCGTACTAGAGGCATATTTATTCCAAGACACTCGTCACTTCCTCTTTTTGTATAAAACTATGTGAATAGCACTGTTTAGTTGTGAAGCGTCAACCAATCAGAGGAGAAGCAGTTTCTCGACCTTATGTCAATGAGTACTGCAGATTGCGAAAGACTATTTGATGTAAATTCATCTTAAAACATCTAACCAAAGTTTCGTAAATGTCAAAATAATCGTGCACACATTGTGTGTTAAACTATTAATCAATTTATCGAGAAACATTACTTCTCAGTTTTGTAATCAACAATTTTGTAATATAAACGTGAACTATCAAAAACGGCTTTGAACATGGAGTTCCTACAAAAATCTGAAGAAGAAGCAAAAGCGAGAGCAACAAAGTATGTGTCGAATTTGCTACAACGTCCAGGTCAATTGGAAAAAATTGATATGTACAAACGTAGAATAACCCGGAAAAAAGCTTCTGTAGACACTATGCTCAAAACTGCAATGCAAAGTCAATTAGATGGAGTTCGTGTGGGCTTCGAACAACTTGAGAGCTCTTTGGAGAGTATCTCTTCTGTGAAGCAGGAGCTAGATGACATTGGTGAGTTGTTCAGTCAGGTTCCAGAATTAAATGCACGATTACAGGCTGTTCAAGAAGAAAACATGCGTCATTCACAATACGTTACTGCCAAAGAAAACTTGAAGCATACGTTTACCGTGCCCGACAGTGTCGAAAAGACTAAGCAATGGATAAACGAAGGTAAACTGTTACATGCTCATCAGAGCATTATGGACCTTGAGAATTCACGGGACGATTTGCTTTATGAACTTCATAAACTTCCGAATCAATCGCCGGCTGACACAATTATGTTGAAAGCTTATTTAGAGGATGTTGAAATGCTCTCACAGTTGATGGAGAAACAAATCAGATTAGTACTAAGTCGTACATTGAATACTGTCAGAAAAGAACCTACTGTTATTGTAACAGCATTAAGGATTATAGAGAGGGAAGAGAAAGCAGATCATTTTGCTATTCAAAGGCATAAACAGAGCGGATTCATGCCACCAGGTAGGCCTAAAAGATGGAAAGACATGGCTATGAAGGTGCTTGAAAAATCTATAGCCAACCGAATTGAGGGCACTCATGTTGAAGAAAGGGTAGATAACAAAATGTGGCTGGTTAGGTACTTAGAACTTACAAGGCTTTTAATTCTAGAAGACTTGAGAGTTGCTAAAACGCTATGTGAACCATGTTTCCCACCTTGGTGGAATATTGTAAGAACTTGCGTTAAAATGTATCACACAAGTTTATCCCAACATTTGAAAGATATAATTACAAATGGCTTGGAAGGAAATGAATATGTATCTTTATTATCTTGGATCATGAACACCTATACAGGACCAGAATTGATGCAACACAGAGAACTGAATATTGATACAAGTGATATTGGTCCATTATTGAGTCCTGAGATTATAAATGATCTCCAGGAAAAGTATTTGAAAAATATGTGCCAAAATTATGAGGACTGGATGAGGAAGACTTTAGAAACTGAGAAAGTAGACTGGTGGAGTGGAATATTGCCAGAAGGTAGCACTCAAGAGGCATACTATCATACTGCAGCACCTGTAATAATTTTCCAAATGATTGATCAGAATCTGCAAGTAACCAAAACAATTAGTGCAGACCTAACAGCTCAAGCACTGGTTCTATGCATTGAACAAGTTATTAAGTATGGATTCATGTACAGGCAAGCTATATTGGAATTCAAAAGCAAACATTTTGAGGACAGAAGCCAAGTACCATACTTCACCCATCACATGATTACAGCTGTCAATAATTGTCTACAGTTTACAGAGCTAGCACAACAAATGAAACAACTCTATTGGGTTCCTAATACTAGCGGGGATGTCACTGTTAAATTTGAAAATCTACTGTCTAATTACCAACAATTACGAAATGAAGCAGCCGCGATATTACTGGAAGAATCTTTCCTAGATTTAGAATCGCATTTTCAGGATCTGATAACTCCTAAATGGTTATCATCCCCTATTCCTGTAGAGACTATCTGTGTAACTTTGGAGGATTACTTCCAGGATTACAATCATTTATCCCCCAGGAACTTTGAATATGTTATTACAGAGGCACAAAACCTCATTGCAAAACGTTATATTTCCGCTATGCTGCAGAGAAAGATATCATTGAAAACGTATGACGAATGTCTGACTTGCACTTCAAAGATAATGACAGAAGCTGAAAAGCTAAAGAACTTCTTTGATAGAATAGCACCTAAAGTAGGAAACTTCAATTCGCCGTTCGAAATAATCAAACGTCTTGCTGAAGTACTGCGTTGCGAAGATTCTGAGATACTTTCTCTTGATTTACATTCTTTGGTTGAAAAGTACCCGGATATGACGGAAGATCATTTAGTTAGATTACTGGGTCTTAGAGGTGATATTTCTCGTAGCGAGGCAAGAGAGAAAGTCTCGTATATCTTTGAAGCACAACGAAATCGCAAAGTACCACAATCTATTACACATAGCATATTCAAACAGATAGTTATACAGGATAGTTTCCTTGGTTGGAAACCTTGAAATTCAAAAGCAAGGAAAGAAATAATCTAGAGTTTTACATATCGTTAATTAGAATGATGTAATTTTGGTATAGTGTACTTAGTTAAC